CCGTCTTCCGTTCCTCGGGAAGAAGAGAGGGAGAGAGAGGGAGAGGGAGAGGGAGGAGAGAGGGGAGAGGGAGATAGAGATGGAGGGGAAGGGGGAGAGGGAGAGAGGAGAGGGGGAGAGGGAGAGAGGGAGAGAGGGAGAGAGAGAGGGAGGGAGAGGGGAGGGAGGAGGGGAGAGAGGAGAGGAGAGAGAGAGAGAACAGACGGAAGAGAGAGAGAGGGAGGGAGAGGGAGAGAGAGTTGAGAGGAGAGAGGAGAAGGAGAAAGAGAGGAGAAGAGAGGAGAGAGACAGAGACAAACAGACTCCGGCTGGGAGAACACAGCTGGGCCAAGCAAGCTCCATGGCGGCTGTTTGTTTTCCCGCTCATTACGAAGCGGCCATTCGGTGCGTCCTCCCTGGTCAGGTGGTGGAGCTGAGGTACTGCGCGTGGGCGTGGAGGAGCCTTCGTAGGCCTGCGTGGGCGTGCGTGGGTGGGAGGCTGCCAGAGGATAAGGGGAAGGGCGAGGGGGGGATGGGAGGGAGGGAGAACGGACGGGCAAGTCGGAGTGTGAAGTTTGTTTTCCCTTCTGAATTTGGTTTGGCGAAAACTTGCTTCGGCTTGACTTCGGCTTGACTTCGGCTTGGTTTGGAGGGACTTGTCTCGAGTCGGGTCTAGCTCGGATTATTACTATTGTTTTTATTGTTGTTGTTATTAGTATTATTGATTATATCATCATCATCATAATATTATTATTATTATTTATTATTATATTATTATTATTATTATTATTATTATTATTATTATTATTATTATTAGTATTATATTATTAGTATTATTAGTAAATTATTATATTATTTATCATTATTATTATGTTATTATTACTGATTATCATTATCATTGCCAGTACCATTTGTTCAGTGTTGTATCCATCCGGTTATGTTGTATTGTACTGATAAACAAACTAACATACAAAAAGTAAACTATAAATAACACCATACGCAGACTAAATAGGCCTATTGTGGATAGGCCTAGTGCAATAACTAGAGAGGTTTTGTCATTCAGTAAAATTCAGGGAGAAAGAGCATGCTGGACTGTTTAGTAATTTTGAATGTTTATTTAGCTTAAGTAATATGATAGGATAAGAAGTGTAAAAAGTTGTCATTTGAATAAAATGAAGATGTGTGTGCGTGTGTGTGTGTGTGTGTGTTGTGTGTGTGTGTGTGTGTGCGTGTGTGTGTGTGTGTGTGTGTGTGTGTGTGTGTGTGTGTGTGGTGTGTGTGTGTGTGTGTGTGTGTGTGTGTGTGTGTGTGTGTGTGTGGTGTGTGTGTGTGTGTGTGTGTGTGTGTGTGTGTGTGTGGTGTGTGTGTGTGTGTGGGTAGTGTGTGTGTGTGTGGTGTGTGTGTGTGTGTGTGTGTGACGCGCGCGTTCGTGCGTGTGTGTTGTGTGTATTAGTGATGTGTGTGTGTGTGTGTCGTGTGTTGTGTGTGTGTGTGTGTGTGTGTGTGTGTGTGTGTGTGTGTGTGTGTGTGCGCGCGCGTTCTGTTGCGTGTGGTGTGT